GGAGTCTGCTTCACATGTCAGTTGTCCTGTTCATGTCACATGATGAGGTCCAGTCCACATTTGCCAACAGGACAAAAGAGATATAAAAATTTAAGTTCATTCAACCACATTAAATTGGAATTTTGGAATGCAAAAGTTAATACCTGTAGAAGGTCAGTCCTGAACGTTTCAGGTCCTTCAAACAGGATTCATCTTCTCCATACTTGATAAACTATGGTACATATAATCCTAAACAGATCAGTCAGACACAAATTGAAGTCAACAGGTATAACAAAAGTCAGTGTAGTACAAACCTGAAGACATCCTGTGGCTGAGAACATCTTTCCTCAAGGGAGTTGGTTCAGTTGGACCACCCTACAGTCCAGGAGGACAGATTTCCAGAGCTTCTGTAGATCCAGCACCAACACCTGTGGGGCAGGGAATACTCAGGGTTTTTACTTATTTCATTGACTGATCTTGGCAAATTCAATGAGAACAGCATGGGTGAAGCCTCCACCACCCTGACCACAAGCTGTACACCAGTAAAAGGTCACATGCATTTAATTACACAAATAAAAACATATACAACCAAGCAGGGATTAGAATGGGAACTGCTCCTCCTCAGATGTGATCAGTCTGGCTCCTTGGGGGACAGGACCTGAACATAAATAACATGTTTTCTATACAGCAAAAAACTGAACATAAGGATTAGTATTTAGTACAATCCTTAAGACATCTAGTAGAAAAGAGGCAGGTCTGGATCATCTTAGCTGATTCCTGTCCAGGAAGGAGTTTCTCCCAGTTCCAGTCTCAGGTCTATTGGAGCAAAACACAAAATATACAGTATTAAAAGAAAAATAACAGAAGGACAAACTTGTATTTTAATAGTGCTTTTCATAGCCAGTCTGGATCACAAACAAGTTTACTTCACTGATGTTACCAGAGGTGCCCTGTCAATCACCCAGCCTCCAAACTATTCAGCTCACAGAACTTAACATTTTTAAAGGAGTTGTAAATATCAACTTAATCTTTCCCAAGTCTCTCACTGTTTCTTTCTTATTTTTAACGGTCTTCATCGGGAAGAGACTTCTGTTTTTCACGTCAGATGGTCCAAACACTGATCAGCTCCCAGTACACTATTGCAGATGGGTCCTGAAAAGAACAAACTCCTCCAAAAATGTTACACATAACTGACTCAGATATAAAAATACAAATATTCTCCAAGTTCCCTTCACATAAAGTCTGTAGTATCATTTACTTCAGATACCCTCTACTAGGGATTAAAGCCAACTCACCCACTTCTTTAAGTTGTGGCTAACCATAAATGAAGAATTGCTGGAGGAAGACATCTAAGACATCCACCTGCAGGAGGACTTGAGAACAGGGAAGAGGTCACAGGTAGGATATACCATTCAGGGGAAGGAAAAAAAAAATCTTAATCAAAGTACAGGGACAGCTCCTGTCCCAACAGACAAGTATGGAAAATAAAGGTTGAACAGAAATTGTAGTTGTCACAAACAGCATCAAATGACAACAAATGTCATCAGTTCATTACAATCAGTGACATCTACTCATTTTTATACAATAAAGCATAGCAAAAACAACAACAACAAAAAAAAAACACAAACATTGAATTAAAAACCACAAAAAAATTCAATAACTAAAACAGTGAAAATGAATTACAGTGTGACGACACACCAAACTCAAAAATCTCTGCCATTTATGTAAAAACCCATAAAAAAAAAAAACACAAAATAAGGTTACAAACAAGACAACAAATTCAATTTTTATGTAAGACACATGGAGACCCACAAAAACAAATCACAGTTTAAAAAAAAAAAAAACACACACAAACAAACATACAATCATTGTTATTTAATTCGAAATATTCTGTGAAGACCAGATTTATTTATTTTTAATCAGCAAAAACAGAACCACAAAAACAATAAAACCTGGTACAGACCTACAAATAAGTTATAAAATAACCACAGACAAAACAATATCTTCATTTTTTACTTAACCATCAAGAAGACAATTATAAAGTATTACCACATTTAAATGAATCATAGCAATACATTTCCCCTTAAAAAAAAAAAACATATATACACATATACAATGATTGTATATAGAATACAAAATCTGACAAAAAAAAAAAAAAAAGTCAAAACCTGTACAAAGCCACAGTCAAATAAAAATAAAAATTTAACATAAGAACCAAAATATAATTTGTCAAGATTCTGTAAAGACCCACAAACAACTGAACCGCAAAAATGAACAAACGTGAAAAACAATAATCAATGTTATGATGTAACACCAAAGTAGTAAAACAGACAAACATTGATGTGTTTGTAAGAAAAACTGTGAAGTCCCACAAATAAAGTATTTATTTCAGAGATCAAATACCCAGGATTTTTTCAATGTAAAAACCATAAACCAAAGACAAATCATTCATTTACATTTTTATACAAAAAAAAAAAAAAAACCACAGCAAAAACAACAATCTAAATCAAAACAATATCCACACTGTTAAGGTTTTCTTTAAATAATGCCAATCCACATAAAAACACCAATATCCAAACAGTTTACATTTAGTCACATTATGGATAAATTTTACACTTAAAGTTTAATGGCATTTCCACAACTCAAGCTCTGCACCCAACTGAAACAAAACCAAAGCAGCCAACAGCTAACAGGCTTCAGCTCAGGCCTGTAGGGGCACCACCTGGGCCACCTCTTCAACATGAGGCACCGAGTAGCCTACTTAACTAAATGAAGGCATTTCATTTGACCAAAACCAAAGAAGCTAACAGGCTTCAGCTCTAGGTGGACCTAACAGGAGTGTGGTCCCAACCACAAGGCCTAGCCTGCCATCTGACAACACCAAGGCCACAATAAAATATTAAAACAGAATCACAAAAAAAATAACAAAAATAACAAAACCAACAACACAGTTAATAATTCACAACACCACAAATCAACATACAAACTCAAAGAAAACAATGAGAACAGGGTTAGCATTAGCTTAACCCTAACCAAAGAAGCTAACCAGGTCAAACAAAAGAAGAAGTTGGTCAAAACACACAGAAAACAGAATGAAGAGGACAAATCTATCAGATAAAAGAACAGAAGAGAGGAATCAGCACATTACCTACCAGAACCCGCAGAGAGAACCTCACCAGTGAGCAGTCAGAGTGAGAACTGAGCCATTTGGAGGCCTTATATACTACACCTGGGTAAGGGGGAGGGGCTAAGAGACGAGCTAGGCTAGGGGAGGGGCTTAGGGATGAGCTGAGGAAACTAACTGAGATGTGTGTACAACCTTAACTACACTAAGAACTACACATAGAATTGTATTCTGGGATGTCTAAAATGACAACAAGGACTTAATATATATTTATATATATATATATATGTATGTATGTATGTATGTATGTATGTATGTATGTATGTATGGCTGTTTGAAGACGGATTAAAAATATGTCCACTAGAAAACCAAAACCTAAAAAACTACAGGGTCCACTTTATTGACCCAACATATTGAACATCTGTGTGATTGACAACATCACCACCCCTCCCTCTACCTCCCTAACCCATACGCTGGGTGGCCAATCAGCGCTCTCCAGGTCCCACTCCTCACATGCTACTTCAGGAGCTTTGGAAAATACAGTGTCAAACTCTACTTCAGCAGGTTTTAGTTATTTAAATGCCCTTTTCTTGTTCTTCTTCTTGTGTATTTTAGCCTCTTGTTGTGTCGGTAGTTCAGTGTCTGTGAACTGTTAGCTTTCTTAGTTTGGTCTGGCTGGACACTGTCAGCATTAGCAAAGTTGTGTTTACAGTGGAAACAGATAGTCAGAGGTATTAGTAATAGTAATTAACATGTCAACTGGTGACGTCAACACGTTCTTGTGTTGAGGAATATTTAGATAATAGTTTTCGTTAAAATAATTCAGACACATCCCAACATTACGTCATCCCAACATTACACAGTTCGGTGATAGAAACTGGAAGAGGAATTGTCGAAGGCTGCGAGAGTCAATGTTCATAACAGCCTGCAGAGGGTATTGTAGAGTATTGTTCTACAAATGAGGCAGATCAGGACAGACTTCTCCGTCTCATGGGATATGTGTTAATTTTTGTATTCGTTTCTGACCGTGGCAGGCCCAACAACAAATCTCATCTGAACATTCACTAACAAATCCCACCTTCTGATCCTCTTTGTAGACATAGACAAACATGATGTTATATAACATTTGTCTGGTAACCTGATAAACACGTTCATTTACTCAGGTCAGCTTGACCAGTTCTTGCCAGTCTCCTGTCTTCCTGTTATTCTGAGTTGTCCCTTACATATTATTTTACCATATTTCTCCACCACAAGGCCAGCAATGTAAAGCTAATATTATTGCAAATAGTATTCTCTATAGCAGGGGTCACCAGCTTCTTTGAAACAGAGAGCTACTTCAAGGACACATTAATTACAAAGAGTTATTTGTCTGATACAGACTTCCTGAACAATGTTATAATAATCAGTTCTGGGACATATAGAACCCATATGAATCATCAATGATCATTCCAAGTAGAACCGATTCAAAAAGCACAGTACAACAGTACCATTGTTAACTAGTTATATTTTCAGAACACACCCCTTAGGTAGGGCACCTTAGGTAGTCCACGGGGGCTAACACATGTCCCCAGGCACCACGTTGGTGACCCCTGCTATAGAGCATTATTTAGCATGGGGTGCTTGAGCTATAAATGACAAGGTCAAAATAATTTGCCTCTGCTTAAAAAGGTTAAATATGTTTATTTACCAGAATATTTTTATTCAGAACATTTAATAATTTAATCAATTATTTGATTTGTCCAAATCAAATATATCTATATATAAATATATATAGATATATACATCTCATCTAATAAATACCACATACTTGGCCCTGCAACAGTCAGTTGCAGCATATCTGCTGTTCACACAAGAATTTCCCCAGTGTGGGATCAATAAAGTTCATGAAATTAAAAAACAAAAAAGAAAAAACAATAAACATTGTGAAAAAAAAAAATTTTATTTACAAAAATATACATGGAGGTGGAGGTCTTCACTTGTTTGTACTGACCTGTGAAGAAATGAACATCAAAAGGACATTACAATACATTTGACAGAGGCTTTTATCCAAACAGACTTACAAGCTGAGTCAGTCAATCATCAACCAAATTACAGTCTGTTATATTCACCTTATCTTCAATCCTGTGACTCAGGTACCTTTGGTACCTGAGTCTAATCGAGTTGCCCGTTCTTTTAGGCAAAATTGCCTCCATGTCCTTCCATGTCCACTTTTGCCGGTTTTTTTGCAATTTTATAAAATTTAAAATTGTCCCATCCTCCTCCTCCGTGTAGAGTCTTCTGACTAGTAGAATAAAGGAACCAAAGTGTGTACTTAGTTACTGCACAGTTTACAAAAGGCAAAGACACAATAGTCTTTTGGCCAGTTCTGTCTCACCATTTCTGCCTGTTGGCGGGTGTTGGACTTCCGGCTTATATTTAATATAGGCACGGAAGTCCTCAACTGCTTCTAGCAGGGCCTGTTGAAGTTTAACAATGGCCTGAGACACAAATAAACATGAAAGGTCAAACACACATAGAAACAGTTAGATGTCCGTTTGAAGCCAATTCACCAGGAAAAACAACAACATTCACTGCCCAATGGAGACTCACTTCATTTGTTCGCTGCATCAATTGGCGGTTGGACTCTATTGAGCCCTGTCCTGTAGGCAGGGCTTGTGGTGGTGCATTCTCCTCCTGAATTACCTCAGGTTGGACATCAATAGCATCATCCTCAGCAGTCTAAACATGAACAGTTTGAACCAGAGGATAAATTCTGGGTAGAGTTAAACCACGGTGAGGACACTAAGTGGGAAACTGCTAACAAACGGCTAACAACGTGCTAACAACGTGCTAACAACGTGCTAACAACGAGCTAACATCCAGTCAAACAAAAAGTCCTCAAACCAACACTGTTGTCACATTAAACATAGTAAATAACAATAAAACTGCCCATAAAAAACATTTTAAAAAGTAACATTCAAGATTCAAGATGAATGAAACAAACGTCATCTACATAGAAAACACAGTCATCTTAACAGAAAGTGAGCAGAGCTTTGACTCCAAATGAAATCACTCTCGTCTCCTGCTTTCCAGTTTTGTAAATAGAATTTATAGTTAGTTACCAAAGTGTGTTAAACCAAAGTGTGGTGAACCATAAACTGTTATCTAAGTGTGTTAAATAATGGTCTGCTTGACAGGAGTAGGTACCCCTAAAAGGTTTTTTTTTCTATGTAGGTAAATAAAGGATGAGGTCTGTTTCTCATCAAGTATGGGAATCAGATGAACTTTGACCTGGGAGTAAAACTTAAACAAAAAAAAAAAAAACAAAAAAAAACCCCCCCGTACTTGTGAAACTTTCTCAATAAAAGGAGCTGCAGTCCTCATACACTTTGGGAATTAGGTGAGCCAACTCTGCGAAGCTGTTGGTCTCTCTGCTCCCTCCCGCAGCGAGTAAAAAGTACAACGTTGTCAGGTGTGGTTCTTTTCAGGTCATTCTATCTGCGGCAGTTAGATGACAACAGTGGTGACTGAATAACGTAATTTTCAGCACCAACAAGTTTACAGTGTCACAAAAAGTGAGAACCATTTCTGTTTAAACTAACAACCCTAAACACAATAATGGTAAAGTCTTAACCAAACAGTGACTTGCTGAGGTGTACACCCCTGTATATTCAGCCTTTAAGCCTCGTAATCTGTCTTTTTAAAAAAAAAAAAAAAAAAAAACATCCTCCCTACACTGTTGACTGACTGATATAAACAGACTGAATGACCTCTCCACAGCAGCTGCTTGTGGTCGTGAGCAGTTAACGAGTACTGGGTCACTGGATCTAAGTACCAGTATCTGCACAAACCATCAGAGCCTAAACCAACACTGTTATTGGTACATCCCTACTAGCACTAAGTGTAATGTGCTAATTATTCAAACCTTAAATAGATCTTCAGAATCTTTGGAAGCCATCTCCGACACTCCCAGCTCTCTCTGCTCTCCCCCCTCACTCCCATCATCCAACAGTGCCTGGGACACAGAAACTAAAAGAGAAAACAGAAAGACTTCATACATTTACTGAATGTATGATTGAAGTGGTGGCTCATGACAGGCACATAAAATACCTGGTGGACCAGTGGACACCTGAAGCTCAGCCACTGTGGTCTCACTGTGTCCTCTGGATCTCTGAGAAGGAGCCAAGTCATCTGTCGTGTCCTCATCACCAGAAGTTGGTTCAGTTACTAAAAAGGGAATAGTTTGGTAACTTTGTTACTTTAACATTGGAATTGAAAAAAAGCTTAAACTGACATTTTAACAATAGCTTAATATCATCCGATATTATCTGTAAGAATCCTTATCGGAAACTTGATTTCAGACTGAAATAAAGGATATGTAGAGAGAACGCCCTGTTCTTTTTATCATTTAAATAAATATTTTTCTCTGTTGGTTTTTAACAACATGAATGTTTGCTTTAACTAGCCATAGTCTATGGAAACAGAAGCACCAAGATTAAACCATGATCAAAACAGAAAAAATAACTGGTACCATGAGTCACAGGAAAAATGTCAGCAAAAATTTAAAAATTAAAAAAAAAAAAAATCCCAGGGTTCACGGTCTATACATGAAGCTTTGTCGACGTTACTGTAAGTCTAACCAAAATAATAAAAACTTCTTAAGTGGCTCAACCCACAGAGCCACACTTTGTTTATCAAAAAAGACATGGGAGGTTTTGAAAGCTCATAAGTTTAACACCTGATAAGGTTTAGATGCTGAACTAAATTGACTGAAGTTGGATTCGTATTGTGATGGCGTTGGCAGCCAGCCTTTTTTCAACGTAAACAAAATGAAAAAACTTCAACAGGTTTATGTTAATTACAGTCAGTGTCATGTTGACTAAAGAGCATGGCTGACAGAGGCCAATAACATACCTGTGGAAGTGAACAGTTCTGCATCTCCAGATATGGGTGTTTCATCAACTGTGGTGCACCCAGATGCACCACCTGGAGGCACCACTGGTGTGTGCAACTCCGTGTCTGGTGCCAGGCACGGGAAGCCCACCTCCAACCTGTCTTCAAAGTCCATCCATCTCTTTGTGGAGGCCTCTGGTAACATAACATACGAAACATAAAATTGAAGTCCACTTCAAAAAAATAAATCACTTTAAATAAATGAAAATAACTTTTCATAACTGAAAAATAAAGCATGGGATTAAAACAAAAAGTTGCGCAGTCACAGCACATTAGAAAACAGACCAATTGCAATAATAAATCTATCATTAAATGTGCATAATAATAAAAAGGTGATTCGGGCAAAATTAACAAAAAGTTTTCCTGACTCAGACCCAGTGTTGGTCAAGTTACTTGGAAACAGTAATTACTAAGGATGCACCAAATATTCAGCCACTGAAAAATTTTCGGCAGAAAATAGCTCAAAAATGCATTTTCCGTTTTCGGCCGAAACAGTAAAAAAAAAAAAAAAAAAAACTAGCAAAACTTTTCTTGTGGTACGAGGAAACATTGAATTACGAGTGCTCAACTGAGCTCCATTTCACCATCTCCTTCATGTCAATAATATGAATTTTTTCTTAATTATTATTATTTTATATTATTAATATATTTGTTTAAATCTATGTTTTTGATGTGTAGATGGGGGAAGTTAATTAGTAGTATATTTCTGGGAGGATGGAACAAATTAATTGGTTTTTAGTTATTTTGAATGGAGAAAAAAAAAAAAAAAAAAAAACAAACAATTGAGATACGAGTTGTTCTGTTGTGGAATGGATTAAACTCCTGTCCAAGGAGTCCACTGTATTTCAACACATCTGAGAAAGACCCACATATAGAGATTTGACAAACGTGTAATGCTGAAATTTTAAAAATCCTAAGAGGGGTGAGGGGTGGGGGTCTGTAAAGAATTCCTCCAGGTCAGGTTCAATTTCTCAGCTGAAATCCCACCAACATCCTGATGGTGGTGCTGACTGAGACCAGGAGCTCCCCGTGACCTTCACCCCACCGCATCATCCTAGCGTCTGTTCGGCTCAGATCTACATTACCACTCTACTTGATCCACCTTAGAAACATCATTCCTGAGATGAGGGAATAAAGCAGCACAGACGATAACTGATCCACAGTTGACCTCAGTGACCTTGTTTTGATGACCAGTAGGCCTGGACATTATCACTGAATGGACACAGAGGTGGAGTCAGGTTTACCTTGTGATTTTGGAGTTGATTTAATTTGATATTGTTGGAGTTTGAAAAAAATATAAATACAGTATATATTGTCATCATTATCGATTGTTTTTTATTCTTTGAAACATTCATATTAATTTATTCAATATCCTTGGTTTTACTGATGTCCAGTTCACAGTCAGAGTCATCAGTGACCTGGTACTGATGAGAACTGGAATAATCATTTCTTTGGGTGTTTATGGTTTCGACCAAGAGTTTTAATTTCGGTGCAGCCCTAGTTTTATTGGTTGAATACATTAGCAAAAGACTCGGTCAACGGAACATTTCAATCCAATCAAGGAACCAGATTCAATTTACATATATTTTAAAGTTGTACCTCCTGAACCAGGATAGCATAAGTATAAGATGTGTTTGCATTTTTTACTCACCGACAAGAAGTTGTCCACTAATATGGATGGGACCAGAACCGGCCTTTAGACGGAAAACTGTTGGGGTTGTGATGGTGAAACCACCGAGGAAAACCTGCAATGAGTTTGATTGGTAAATGAAAGTGAACTCCTTGTCATTGTGACACAGCACACCACTGCACACACCATCAAACCTGACCTCTGCTTTTAACCCATCATCACCACAGCCAGCAGGGGGCAGCAGTGTGTGGGGACAGTGCCATGCTAAGAGCACCTCAGTGGTAACTCAGCAGCTGGTGGACTCCAACCTGAAACCTTCCAGACCCAGGTCCACTTCCTTAACCACTGAGCCACCACTGGTCCCTAATCAGAGAAACCTCCAGTTCATAAGTCAATTCTCTCATCACACCTACAGTATTTTGAATAGAACACAATAACTTACACTGGGCAGAGTGGACCGCTGAAGAGAGACAAGAACTGTTTCCACTTTCTCGCCTCTTGTGTCCTGTCTTTCCACCGCCACTGTGTGGAGCTCATCTTTTGTGCTGGTATCCACACAAGCCTGCAGTCAAGGTAAAAGAACATTACACCTCTTTTATATAATAATCAAAGGATTAGCACTACAATGCGAATTAAAATTTTTTTTACCCAAATGTTTCATTGTTTCACCTTTAACCTCATGAGGTCACCTTTTTAATCACTCTCCATAACTTATCATATAATGTGAATAATTTAATATCATGGATATGGCGTACAGCAGTGGTCGCATACGCGATCGACTAGTCGATCTTTGAAGCATTCCCTGTCAATTCCAAAATAATAGAAACATATCAAATACTTTTTGTCTGATTAAAGTTCAGTTTTGCAAATTTCTCTCTCTGTCTGTCTCACTCACTCTCTTTAACAAATATGTCCTTGATAACAACATTCACAAACTGGTAGCAATCAATGATTAGGCCCCAGAAATGCGTACTGCGCGCTCTGGATTCATAGCGTTGTGCCACAATAACCTTTTTTTTTTTTGTTATACTTTCAATTGTTCAACCTCTTCAATTCCCTGATTTTGTTGCATTTTTTTTTTTAACGATATGATCCTACCTTCAGTGTCAGTTCCACTACAGGAGAACATAGACAGATGATGTGCTTACAAAATAATTTTATTTTTTCACCAGTGCAACTTTGATGAATCAATAGTCGCAACTGTTAAGTTTTGAAGCGTGTAGTTTCAGTCTAGTATCGTCCTTGTCCTACAAAAAATTAATTCAATACAAAAAAACAATCACATGTCAAAGGTGAAAAAATGTGAGAAATATGTACAATAGAAATGACTTGGTTGCATTTGCACTACTGCTCATTCATCCTGTGATCATACAAGTTAAATGACAATACTGTAAAAGCAGACAATACAGCAGGATGGATATGTTTCATGGCTGCAGTAACCTTCTCCATCAATCTAAACTAGTTGTCATCTTCCAGCTACCATGCTGGGTTACTTACCATCCTGAGATCCAGGGTATAGTTATGGTCACTGTCCTTGGGATTGAAAGTCACCGCTTTTCCTGCTTCCAGAACACATCCTGCAAAAAACAATTGCACAGTATATTGTTAAAAAATATATAATAATTAAATCCATGTAATGGCCTACGAAGGTCTATTAAACTTGTAACATAAATGCCGGCTAACCGGGTCAAACTTCTGTGGGATATGTTTGTTGTAACATCTATAAAGAGATACATGAAGAAGACATTTAAATCACGTAGGCTAATTCAGGGTAAAAAAAAACAAAACAAAAAAAAACAACAACAACAACAACAACAAAAAAAAAAAATGCTTCTACCAACACAGTGGAAATGCATTTCAATTCCACTCTGTCAGTAACCATGCACTGAATCCACATTATTATTGAATTATGATCAAAAACTGCTGCACTCAAACAAAGAAAGTCCTGGTCGACTAAAGCGGTGAAAACTAATGTAGAGGGGAACTGGGGGGGAGGGGGCAGAGCTTAGTAGTGTGGATGAAATGTATTAATGTGTTCATATTTTATAGAAGTATGCAACATACATAATCATGTTTTAAAAAGATCATAAGAGATGTGCTAAAACATACAACCAGCTTGAACATAAAATGCTGCTTAAAGGTAGAACTGAAAACATGCAGATGTAGAGAAGGAGCTGCGAGGTTGAGATAAAACCTAGGTTTGTTGTGAAATGAGGAGTACTTGGTGTGATGGGAAACAGAAACTTTTAGAATACAATTTGACAATGGCTGGATTCATAGTTAGAACACAAGGGCACAACAACAGCACCTGGGCGCGATAAGAACAGGATGAGAAACCAACGGTGTAGATGCAGTTGCCAAAAAGAATGTATGTCTGTGTGTAGAACAAATGAAGTCTGTATCGCTTGAGATGTACCACCTGGATGTGTGTGTCAATAAAACGAGCCTGAGTTTGTGGAGAGAGCAAAATTCAGCAGTCGACCCCCTGACTCGCCGCTGGATCCTCCCTGTGCACAGGCGAACTCGAGCAACAACTTTTGTCTTTTCTTTATACTTTGTGAAGGTTCTTGATCAACGAATCCGGGGTGGTAAAACCTTACCACAACAGTAGCCTCGTCAGCCTAACTTAATTATAAATAAACATGAAGACAGGTAGTTTATTTGCTTTATATTAAAGTGGTTTTAACCTTATTATTTTGGACTGAAATTGACTACACACTGGAGTCTGTCCAGTGTCCAGATGCATCACGTGCACCTGCGAACTATCATAGCACGGGGTTAGGAACCTCACGAAACAGATGTGGCCCTGTTGATGACTACATCCATTTCTCAGTTAAATTCTCAGTTAAATTTTGCTGATATTCAAGTAAAACGTTACAGAAATCAGGGTTAAAATAATTAAAAAAAAAAAAAAAAAAAAAAAAAAAAATTTTATTGCATTTCCTGCAGCAACATACTCTTTGCGTTGTGTTAAATATTTGCAGTAAAACCATCAGCTTGGTACGTCATCTTTTATTCTGGCATAAAGATAACAATGAAAATAAAGTCTGTCCAATTTGTAACAACACACGCATAAGTAAAAGGTAATGATTAAATTAATTAATGATAGACCTAACACGTGCCTAGCATACCTAGCATAAGGCCAGCAGCCGACTGCTGCTCCACGGGGTTCACCACTCCAATCAGCATGGGTGGTGCATTTAATGACCGAAAGGTAAATTAAGGTTGTTCTTACGTGGTGAGCATTAAACTGTTCTGTATGACAAGTGGAACCATATATTTATAACTGTTACACATTTTAATCCATACATTTGTTTCCGCTGAAGCCAATCACATCAAAACCATGAAGCACCAGAAGTCACATTTATGGTCAGAAGGATTCTGTGTTTTATTAAAAAGAAAAAGAAATAACACATTTAGTTGTGTTCCGAGTATGAAAAATAAGTACGGCTCTCACGGATATACACTTTAAAATATGTGACTTTTTTGGCTGTCTCCACTAAAAAGGTTTCCCGCACCTGTCCTAGCACGTGATTTCCGAAAACAAATACATTAACATACAAATACATTAGGTTTCAACAAAAGAACTCGCCAAAAATATTTAGATTTATTATTTTCGCCACGTTAAATTATTAAGACACCGTCATTTCGCTCTCCGCATGTCCTTGTACAGCGCAAGACCAAACACAGGAGCTCGGCTTTGCGGCCGAGACCCGAATAAACTATTAACTTAAAACCTTAACTCTTAAATACAAAAGGAAAGTCCAATTTAAGAAATAAAAACAATTATTCAACAAACCAGATCTAGACAAAGACAGGACGTACAAAATAAGGTATTTGGATGATAGGATGCTTAACATTCAGCGTGGATGTTACCGCCAAAACTAGACAGTATCGGGTTGTTGACCGGGCCTGACGCACTTTAGCCTCCTGCTACATACAAAGGACTAAGAACACTAAACTGTTCTCATTCCTTGTTACAAAGGCAGTACCTTTACTTGTAATTCTAGGACAACCGATTCAAAAATATGGTTCGATTTATCGGCAATGCCACGGGGAATATACACTAGTAAAGAGGAGACTTTGTAAAATCCACCAACCTACAGATGCACAAGGATAATCACACAAAGCGTGTTCTCTCACCGTAGATGACTGTCTGTAGCAACATTGTGTCTTGTGGTTAGTGAGTGAGCGACATTACGTCGCTGCTATTTATGCGTGCGTAATTGGCGCCACCTTGGGCAGCCCAAAACGGCAACTCCACTTGGACAAACTTCAGGACAGAATTTGCTAGGATGCCCGACCTGCGCACGCGCGAAAGCGAAGCGAGAATTAGCTGTCACTGTCCAATTTCAGTTGAGCATGTCGCAGATAATCAGTTACTTTTCAATAAATAATTTGCATAATATGTGATATCTTTATAATCTCTCTGACGGATTGATTGTTTATATTGTTTTCATTTGTTTGATGTTTCACATTTCAAAAATCCATCTTTGTGAAATGTAAAATGTTCTGTAACTTCTGCAATGCCAAATAAATAACATTAATCCCTCCATCCTATTTTATATTTCTATTTAAACAATAATTTGATTTACAACAATAGATTTGTACCTATTTGGATTTATGATGGCAGGTTTTCTGCTGATTGGCCTGGGCACCTTCCTGTTCCGTCGTGAAGAAAAGATGATGCTACAATTGGCAATCGACAAGCTCATCGCCCTGACTAACGGATGGGGCAGGGCCGCCAACACTCAGACTCAAGCGATTTGCGAGCTCAACCGCAAACTGGATGCGGTTTTCGAGCGCTCTCGCATACTGGATCAACTTGGAGAAGCTGGCGGATCGGCTCGGCTGAATCTGGCCACCAAATTCGGACATATTGAAGCAAGCCACCGGGAGACTCAGAGACACTCAAGGGCAGACTGAAGATTCCAGCGTCGCCCTGTCCCAAAACAATCTACTATCTTCATTGGCTCCCAGACATAACCGGCCTTCTCAAGGACAGTTATCTCTCTACTCTCCTGGATGTTTATGCAGACAAGATGCTCCGAGCCCCCCCCTCTGGGACACTCACCCTTACCCCTGATTCAACGCCTTCTTTGGCCCCTTACAGCCTCCCTCCCTCCCCTGTCGCGCTGTAACCCCCCGCCCCCAAACTCCCGCCCCACTCCCACATGTGCAGATGTTCTCGTCCTGTTATAATGTCCTTGATTGTGCTTTGTGCTGAGAGGTTTTTTCTAAATCCCACACTGCTCCCCCCCCCCACGGGGCCTAGTTTGGAGTTGTCTTTTTTTCCCTCCTCCTCCCTTCCTATCGTTTTTCAGTTGTTTTTCATCTTGGCCACTGAGAGTGGACGCTGGCATGTATGTTGCCGCTGCTCTCCGGGCATATGTGTTTTTTTGTTCTGTTTTTGTTTTGTTTTATGTACAGTGTCCTTGGGTGACTTGAAAGGCGCTTTTAAATAAAATGTATTATTATTATTATTAATAATGTACAGCTCAATGACAACCGGTGATGTGTCGTCCGTGAACGATTCGTTCAATATGAATTAATCTTTCTTATGACTCGGGAGCAACGAGGCTCTCACTGAGCGATTCGTTCAAAAGCTCAGTCGACAGGACCCTAAAGACTGGTTCACGATTCACTCAACTGTACGTCCGTCCTCAGGTCCACGTGACAACCAGGCCGATCAGGCTATGTGGCGAGCAGCAAACACTACAATTCGTTTTTGATTGATTGAAGTGTTTATTTCGAATATGAAAATCAAAAATACACATTGAAAGAACATTTTAACACTGGATATTGAATGCATCTTTGGAAAGGATAGAATTGTTCATACGGATCATTCTTTCGTTCATTTGTCAAGTCGCAGCTGTGGATCAGCTACGTGACTGTGGGCTGAGAGTCGAACAAGGGCATAAATTAAGTCTGATATCTGATGTTCATTCATTTGTCACGTGACACCCGACATAAATTATTTATTCATGAAATCATAAAATTTTGTGGTTTTCACTTCTTGTAGATGTGAACAGAGTTATTGTCTTTGTAAATAAATACTTTCGTGAATTACATCAACATGTTGATGTTGTGTAAAAACATCATTATACATTATTCATGGGTGAAATCATAACTGGTTTTCGGAGGCTTGTGTCCACTCATGAGCAGCTAAACACGTTTTATTGGACCAATGAAAGAGGTGATTTGTTGTGTATTTCCATAAATGTCCAGCACACACACATGTGGTTCACACACAATAATCAGCAGTGGAGCAGTGGCCCGGAAGGTTTCAGGTTCAAGTCCACCAGCTGCCAAGTTGCCAATGAGGTGCTCTGGGGATGGCACCATCCCCACAAACTGCTGCCCCCTGCTGGCTGAGGTGATGGGTTAACAGCAGTTCTGTGGTAACCAGTGACCAGGTGAACACAATGACCAGTAATCCTAGAGAAAGTGAACCTTTTATAACATTAGGGGCGCTCCAACACTGCCCTCGACGGAACCTGACCTGGACCACTGAGAACCCACAGAACCCATCTGTGTTCATGACCTTTGACCTATATTGCAGCAGCGTTACTCACCATCGTTACTATTGACGTTGACGTCCGTCCATCATCTCAGAAAAACTACTCCAGCAGATTGGGCTGGAAGTCAGCAACAGTGTTACAGAAATGTTGAAAGTGATCATTGTTTTATTGTTTACTCTGTCAATCAACTGTAACCCCCACCCTCCCCAGACCCCCCAGTTTACAGGACAAACTACAGAGAAAAACATTAATGTCAGGAGAAAAATCATAAGTCAACTGAAACAGTTACAAGAAACAGCCTTTCTGAGGCCCAGTTACCATAGTTACCAGTTACTACAACCATACAGACCATAGATAAACTGGAACTTGCTTCATCATGAGGCCCCACCCCCCCACATCAACACTTCCAAAATAATCTGTGTTAAAGCTGTTGCTTTTTTACTGTGAAATTATGTAACTTTTTAGGAAACAAGACAAAATCTTAGAGAATCAGGTCGACGATAATAAACATTAGAGAAAAGTATTTTCAGGTGTTATCATCCACGGGGGCGGGGGTCTTATATTTGATCCCGGAGTTTGGCAAGTCTTTGTGAAAGTTCGTCCTTCAGACAACAGAGGAAAGATGAAAAGTGAGGAGATCAGGACAAAAAAACAAAAGAAGAATCTAAGGTGAAGAAGAGAAAGTACCTGTTCAGCCGAGGCCACGCTTGCTCCCACTGATCCAGTTTGTCCCTGAGGTAACTCCATGTTCAGGTCCAGGCTAAACACAACAGCAAGAAGGTAAGGCAAACGACTAATATGTTAGCATGTTAGCCAAGGAGAAGAGGAGGAGGAGCCTACCCTGCTTCATCTGCCATTTCATGCAGCAGCGACTCAACCTGGTTCTGGAATAAACAAAACATTAACACTGGTTATAATTTAAAAATATAACAGCGTCCACCATGGGACACAACACAAGGGTTACTTCATGTTCATTGGTAACACGCTGCTTATTTACTATGTGCAAGTGTAAGGGTAACATGTAGCCCACAGATGTCAAACTCAGCCCGTGGGCCAGATATGGCCCCTAGTGAGATCATATCAAATGTGTATTAGAGCTGACCCTCCAATATAAAGACACTATATACTCCTGATGGTTGAACTTCTGAGTTCATTCTCAGGTCTTTATAATATTCACCTTTAGTCCATCCAGATTTAATGTTTACGTAAAACTAAAGTTTGTTTCCAAATAAAAAACAAACTAGGTCACAGATCTGGACAGAAGAGAAAACGTTTACAGTCAATGTTTGAATCAATGAGGTTTGCCGTGGGCTGGAGAACCTGTGGAGTGGTGAGTGTGGTGGTGCTGCTCATGGTGTCCTCCATCTGGGCCGTCTGGACGTCCAGGGTCTCAAACTGATGCTCAAACTTGTCCATGAGAGCAGAAATCTGAGGAAACAATCAGAGTATGTGTGTAAGTGTGTGTGTATGTGTGTGTGTGTGTGTGTGTGAGTATAAGTGTGAAGACCTTTGACCTTTTCTAAATTCATGCTCTTCAAGGTCACGTCCATGCCTTTCACCACTCCAGCCATCGACTTTGTCACCTTTACAGAGACACGAACGTTGATCAACGTTAACTAGTTGCTCCCTTTACAATGATTAACATATAAACTAGTGTGAACTAGTGTAAATTAGTAACATGAGTTCACTTCAACAAAGTAATCCATAGGTAACAAACACATCAGCTGACCCAGAGGAACGACACATCACAGGCTAGCTCCTTAGCTATTACATAAACATCTAATCAGAGTGCAGTTCAGTGTTAACCCATGGTCACCTGGTTCATGGTGACGGCTGTTTGGACTCTGGCTGCCACCGCATCCACACGTGCACTCATTCTCAGGTAGTTGACGGACTGGTTCTTCTGTCTGATGGCGTTCTCTGCGTGGATCCTGGCCACTTCCATGTTTCCCTTCTGAATGGCCTGACAACACACACACACAGTCACACACACACACACAGTCACACACACACACAGTCACACATCTCTAAAAGCTGGATGTCAGTGTAGCTACAACCAACACTTACTTTCTTTACTTTGCTCTTCTCCATTTTCTCCTCTTTCTCACACTTCTTGGCATTTCTGTGAAGTTCTTTTGCAGCAAACTTCAAATTGAAAAGATTTTCTTAAGCTGGGAGTTAAAGAAAAAATAAACACACAAACACACACACTGTAGAAATGGACAGAACTCAAGCACCTTGGCATCTAAATGACTCAGGTTTGGGTCAAGATTTAACCTGTGACCTTAGTTGTAACTATAACAAACAAAATGTAACAAATTCTCTTTAAAATCTTGATTATGTGAAGAAAAGATTAACCGGGAAAATGGCAAATGATGGTTTTGTTTTATGGGGTAAGCGTTGTTACAAAAAAGTTTACGGTCAGAGTTCCTTTTATCTTAAACTCGAAGCCTTCTACGCGATTAATAATCTTTACAGGTGAAGGGGGATGTTTGAAATGATATATTTTTGAAGAAGCTCAAAATCACTAATTACAAATTATGATGTTTATTTTTATTTTTCTGACGCCCGGTCCTGGTCTGAGGCCCGGCTGTTGGGAACATCTGCCGTGGACTCATTCACGACCATAAACGTTTCCGGAACTAACAAAAAATCAGTCCGTGTACGTCCTGTTACACGTCCTGTTAGAGGTAAAAACAAAACAAACAAACAAAAACACGAGAAAAAACAATAAACACACCAACAAATGTGCTGGTTCTAAAACACCCGTGTGCTCGCCACGATCCTACCCGTTTCCCCACTGTTTTCCTGGGAGGATACTTTCCATGCTCGGCATCTTAAGGCACAGCTCTGTTCCTACAAATGTCAACTCTTGACAATTTGCCCGAAAACCTCAAACAAAATGAAGCAGAAACGAATCAGACGAAGGTGAAACTGCAACGGTTCACTCCGATTTCGGTCGTCGTCGAATAATTCTTCAACTTCCGGGTGTCTAAACCAAAATAACTGCTACGTCAGAAATCACGTGAAAGCTTCCAATAGACGTCATCGTGTTCCGCCCCTCTTCTTGAAATATGAAGAAGAGGGGAAAGACCAGGTGAGACATGGTGCACGACAGACTGGTTTTTATTTCTTTCATATTGATTACATTCATTTCTGAAGGAAACCGTTTTTATATTTGAAATGTACTCGATCTTTACTCCACACCTCCACTGTCTGAACCAGTTCTTCTCTGATCACTTCAGTTCCAGTAACCATTATGCTGAGACTGCTGAGAGAATTCCCATGATGCTCAGAACTACCTGATTTTACATCTTATACAGTATTACATTCAGAAATAAAAGGGGGAGATTACATCCCCTCCCTCTGCTGTCTCCCCCACTTCCTCGCTCTCTCCACTGAACACTGATCCTGGATCTGCTGCTTATTGACTTTTAATTGTTTAAATACATTTAGTTTAAACACTGACTCTTGATAAATTCCCCTTTTTTCACAGGGTTGTGTTTATGTATACTGTATGTATATATAAAATGAACAAATTTAAATAAAATCTCTTTTATTCTCGTTTTGTGAACGTGGTCGATACAAACAAGGACTGGACTTCAACAGACCTGATCAGTTCAGTTCTACTCTGACCTGGGGTCTGTGCAGCTGTAGCCTTGTGTGTCAATCACCTTCCTAAAATAGTCGACACCAAGTCTGTGCAGAGGGAGTCAGTCTGCACCTTGCTTTGAGACACACCACTGCCTCAAAGCAAGGTACTACTGGATCCAGAAACAGGTCGGTTCCTTTAAGTCTTCCTCCTAACAGCAAGCCCTGTCCAGAACAACACAGTACTTCCTGTTTGCTACTTCCAAACTTCCTGTGACCAGCACCGTCTTAGCGGTGCGGCAAGCCACTGGTGCTAATGTTCCGTCCCTGATGCAGTTCAAACCAATGGCAGTTGAACTGCTGTACAGCGCCCCCTGTCTGCCCTTTATGATTTCACCATCAGTAAACTTCACTCACATGTCACCATGTTGACGTGACCTATATTACACCTCTCCCTGATGACATCATCGTCTCTTGGACCAACATGTCAAACAAAGAAAGCACTGTGGTCACATGACCAAGAACTTCAACCTAAGGTAGTTGTTCACAATCACACTGGAACCAGAATGAGATTAACCAGAATTAAATGAACCCAAACTGAGATTCAGACTTTTACCAAAATTATGTACAATAAATCAAGCTTCATGGAGGAACTCTTGAAGGAGACGGCCATTTATCAAAGTGGGACGTCTTAACTAGGGTGGAGATCAGTGCAGAAGGAGAAGGAACGTACAGGAAAGTGCTAGAACAGGAGGTGCTCTCTGAATAACTGGGTCTTCAAACCTCCCCCTTCATTCCATCAATGTGAAGGTGTTGGGACTGTCAGATGACGTTCCCCAGTTGAGCGGAGTGGTAACATAAAAAAACATCCTAAATGAACTAAGAAATATTTCGTTGAAAGACAAAAGTGAAATCAATACATTTCAGGAATGTTCTGTTTAAAACCGTTTCATTCAAAACAAACCTAAATACAATGTTTAAAAAAGAAAATTTAAATATTTATAAACATCTACTTATGATGCCATCATGATCTCATCATATGATAAAAACTATTTGATATCCTTGTATCACAAACAAAACAAAAATGTAAGTTTTATTGTGCTTTTGTTTTTTATGGTTCCAGTTTGTTTGTTTGTTGTCAGGAACTACAGTAGCCCACAATGGACAAACAGGCAACTTTGACTAAAACCTACAAAACCAAACTGACTCCACTTTGAATTGAGATTTCAAATGTATCACAATCAGAAAATACTATTGTTTCACGTATTATTATTATTGTTGTTGATGATAAAATGTCATCTAAGATTTAAATTTTACTCTCTGTAAAAAAGAATTCAAGAATTTTCATCTCTTTTAAGCAGCTTTGATTTTGGGTTTTTTTTTTACATTGTGATGGTGACATCACAGTGGCAGATCATGACGTCAGTGATGGGTGACATCTGAGTGGCAGATAATGATATCACAATGGCTGGTGACATCACAGTCACACCCGGGTAATGATGGGGTCAGTGTTTTCCTCCACTTCTTTTTTTAGGTCGTCTTTTTCTGAAGCCCTGAAACCTGTGAAAGAGGGGCTGATGGGAAACCAGCGGAGCCATGATATCCGTCTGATGAAGGGCGTGACTAGTGGCAGGTCGTAGGATGAAGATGAAGACAAAGAAGAAGAAGAAAATGATGTCCATTCCACCAAACCTCTTTCCTCTCTAGTTCCTAAAGGAAAACAAATGACAACTGTTTTTGGAGCTGCGGATGAGCGCCACCATCAGTCGGATATTTCCTTGACAGTGTGTGTGCTACCTGGTATGGTGTTGTCAAGACAAAAGGCCAGAAAACCTCCAACAAACATTTCGGTGGACAGAAGAACTGTGAGAATCTGATCTAGTTCGGCTACACCTGAAAGCAGGAGAGATCTGTGATATACACATTGATGTGATGTGATTGGCTGACTGGTCACAGTGCTGCACTGGGGAGGGTCTAGGGCAGGGATGTCAAGCATAAGGTCTTCGGGGCCAGGGTTCAATCCAGGCCGCTTGATGAATTTGGAAACATATTCATGATGTTTTGTAAAATAATATTCCGTCCTAAATTTCCCAAAGGAAACTCCAGAGGGACTAATAAAGTTCTATCTAAAATATACTTCTTTGGATGGAAACAGATGAGAAAATCATGGACGTATTGTTATGACTGTACTGGTCCGATCCACTTGATATCTAATAAGGCTGTATGTGGCCCCTGAACTGAAATGAGTTCCCTGACATCCCTGGTCTAAAGGGTTCAGGTATAGACAGATGTCACAGGTCTAACCTGTCTGTATAGAGTTTGGGTGTGAGTCCAAGTATGCTGGCAGTGTCAAACCAAAAAACATGGAGAATCCAAGAACAAAGAGGTTTCTGGAGGAGTTGAGGTCCACCAGCTGTAGGTTTGACAGCCCCACAGCCGTGATCATGCCTGAGCAAACACAGTCGAACTGTCAGGAAATCCCTCTGTGACGTCACAGAAACTTGCAGAAGAACTCCCTTTTGGTCACTTACCAAATAGTGTGCAGAACATTCCACCGAGAATCGGATCTGGAAGTGATGCAAACAGTGCTGTGAACTTTCCAATGGATCCCAACAGGAACATTATTCCTGCTCCATACTGCACCACCCGTCTGCTGCCCACCTGCAAGAGGTCAATATATGAAACACTGACACATAGGTTCTATGGTTTTGAGTTCCTAGGCAGAACTATGTCCAGGATTCGTTACCTTGGTGATGCCAAGTACGCCAATATTCGGAGAGGAGGAAGTGGAGCCATTGCCTGTTCCTAAGAGACCAGCAATGATGCAACACACTCCCTCCGTGAAGATTCCCCTGAAACACAACACCAGCATATGGTCAGGCCAGTCAGCCACAGTCTGTTTAACTGAACCTGAACCTGTTTACTTCCTGCCTCACCTATTGATGGCATGGACTGGAGGGGGGGTGGCTCCAGACAGACGAGCACAAGCATAATAATCTCCGATTGACTCCACGATTCCAGCAAGAGTCGCACTCAACATTCCCAAAACACCAGCAACCGTCACCACTGGTAGTCCCCACTGACCTATCAGAAGACGGCAGACACAGAAAGTCAAAGGTCATCAGCTCCACCTGGATTTCTGTCACCTCTGACCTCTGAAAACATGGGAACAAGGATGAAGGAAGGCAGTAAGAAGGAAGGATACCAAGGATGAAGGAAGGTAGAAAGAAGGAAGGATACCAGGGATGAAGGAAGATAGAAAGAAGGAAGGATACCAAAGATGAAGGAAGGCAGGAGGAAGGAAGTATACCAAGGATGAAAGAAGGCAGTAAGAAGGAAGGATACCAAGGATGAAGGGAGGTAGAAAGAAGGAAGGATACCGGGGATGAAGGAAGATAGAAAGAAGGAAGGATACCAAAGATGAAGGAAGGCAGTAAGAAGGAAGGATACCAAGGATGAAGGAAGGCAGTAAGAAGGAAGGATCCCAAGGATGAAGGAAGGTAAAAAGAACATATATATATGTACATATTTATATAAATAGCGTAGGCTATATGAATTTTCCCCACGTACCACTAGAGAGCGCTCGCGTACCACTGGTGTTGGGAACCACTGCCATAGTTGAAGGCAGGAGTAAGGGAACTGTGAGTGCGTGTATAATCTTGATTGGCTGACTTACAGGGGTAGGGGATCCTGAACCAGGGTGCTGATGTTATAATGTCTCCACGGGCATCAGTCCGAGCTTTATGTCCGTACTTTTCAGGGTTGCTTGGCAACAAGTTGGTCAAAGTGAGCACGTAACAGACAAGCCATGCCAGTAGGATGGCTAAGATGATCTAAGACATGACACCATCACAACAAGTGACAGTCAACAAACAAACAAATACAACAACAAATGTAAACTAGGAAAAATGATCTTCACAGAAAGAATCAAACTCTAATCTCTGACATAACCCAACTCTGAGTGAGCAGAAGGAGACAAACAATATGTTTTTACCGGAAACATCTTAAAGACCTGGACTCTGGTTGATGTCAGGCCTTTTCCACGACTGTAAACTGGAACAGGAAGTGATGTCGATCTGAGATACTGAGCAAAGAGTACAATCAGCAAAATACACCTGAGGGAAACACAGACAGGTCCAGGTCAGATAGCTTGTAAAGACAGACAGACAGTCAGACAGGTAGGCAGGCAGACAGATGAAGAAACAGACAGATGGCTCACAGCGCTGAAAGACCCCAGTGAGACCCAGCTCTGTCTCCAGCTGTGGTAAAGACTGACAGGCCAATCAAAGAGATGGTTGGTGTTATGGTCAGTGGGCCAATATAGTCGAGCAGCAGACCTGGTAGCCCACACAGACCCAACAGAAGTTCCAGAACACTAGACACAATGATAGCACCCTGAATCTGTCAATAAAGACAAAAAGATCAATCTGGGCATTTCTGCTCGGGGTTAGGGTTAGGGCATTTGGACCTGATACCTCTCTGATCCGTGGCTGCCAAACATGAGATGTGTTTAGAGGAAGTGTCCAGTTTCCATAAATTTCTTCTGCAAAGACAAATTTGACACAAGTCAGATTGTTATTTTTTAATACAAACCACAACAAAAGGTTCACAATCTGCAGGAAAAAGAAATCACAGTAGAAGACAAGAAGGTCAAGCAAAGGTCAAAGATCAAACTGTCACTCAAAACTTTGTTACCTTCAGTGGGACACTTCCAACGATCTAGACCTAAAATGGCCTGAGCAGGAATCAGGAAAGCAAATGCACTGGCCTGAAAGAGAGGGAGTCTACACACAAACACACAAACACACACACACACACACTCTCTCTCCAGTTACCAAGATTTTTTAAGACTGGTTTTTAGACTGATCCCTGACTCACCTGATTCCCACAGTGGTCTGGATCAGCGTTGTGATTCCGACTGTGGTAAAAATGGTTCCGATTAGTTGACTGATAGTGTTCTGGTCCCGACCCACACACATGGCCTCTGCCAAAAGAAAGGGTACGGCCACAGTCCCACTGAAGCAGGTCAGGTAATGCTGCAGTGGACAACATAATCATCTTCAGCTTCTCAATCACCATCATCATCATCATCATCCAAATTTCATTAAAATTCTTCATAATCATGTTACTCATTATTATTGCTACTCAGTTTCTTCTTCATTACTATCTTCATCAGCATCACTAACATTATCACACTTAAACCCAGATTAAAGTTCAGTTTAACTTGGCCTTGCCTGCAGTCCCAGTAGAATGCACAGGTACCAAGGTGGAGCATCTTCAATGGTGTAAATCATGTCTGTTGCCACCTTGTTTGGTTCTCCTGGTTCTGGAACACATGACTCCTCTTCCACGGGTTGTTCAGTCAGCTGCTCCTTCTGACAGGTTTTCTGGAAGAGTTCGTATGAGAGAAGTTCAGCTCTACTTCTAAACAGTACCAGTTCCTGATCCACAACGTGAGGATTTCAAATCTAACTGGATTAGATTAGATTCACCTTTTTACATTTTAATAAAAGCAAATTAAAGATATGTATCACAAACAAGTTAATAATTCCAGTTAACCAGTAAAACATTTTAAATTTGCTTAATTTCCCAAAGGGAACTCCCGAGGGATTAATAAAAAAGTGCTATCTATCTAAAAACAACATGTAAACCAGTATAATTGACAATTGCTGTTCTAATCAATAACCAATAATCAGTTCCCAGTCCTAACAACTTTTACCTTCAGTTTTTTGCCCATGTCACCTTCAGCTGTGAGTCTTGGGAAAATGAGCTCAGAAAACTTAGAGAGAGAAACGTGAGTGAGCAAGTGAGGTGAAAGTCCATACAGATTAACCATCACACACACACACAAACGTCACGTGTTGTTTCCACTGAAAAGTAGGTTTATTAATTAGTTGTCAATTATTGACATTTATGGACTTGATCATAAACAACAGAGTGGATCAGAAAGTGTCACCGTCATCATCTTCATCATGAACTTTCTCTTCATCTCATCTTCTTGTTCTCACTTGTCTGGAAACAAACCAGGTTTGTATTGGTGACATGTCATGTCACCAAAACAAACCAGGTTTCCATGGAAATACTCAGCTATCCCTGATAACTTATCAATTATTGTTTTGTTTATTTGTCCTTGTGACCAATTACCAGCCATCAGACTCCGCTCACAGGCTGTCAGCCAATCAGGATTCTCAGTCAGCAGCTCTTCATAGTGGCGCTGCAGAGAGAGAGATGATGTCATCAACAGTCGATCACATTACCATTCATCATCAGATCATCAATAAGCAGTTTTATTGATAAGAAGTCAGTTGCTGTTCTGTCATTGATGTGAGGTTTATAATGAATATTAGTGAATTAAAAACCAATTCATGACAAAATAATGTCCGATTTAAAAAGCTTCTACACGTTTTTTTTTCTAAAACTATGCTAACATGTCTTAGTCACTGCTGTTAACCCTGACACAGATGTTAACACTTACAAACAATCATGCTAACCCCTAAACATTATAGTTAGCCTGTAACCACAAGCTAGAGCCAAAGGATTTTCTTTTGATTTTGTTCCGACACTGGTTCAAGACAACGTTGACCTGTAATCAATGACGTCAGGTGAGAAACTGAATGTATTAAATGATAAATATCGGTGTAATGTTAATTAGCCAACCATCTGTTTGAAGGTCTCACATCTGCACTAAATATACCAGGCGAGAAGAAGAAAGTTTAAATGACGACTACGCAAATCAAAGTTTAAAGTTTTATTCAAGATTTGAAACATGAGGGGGAAAAAAAAGTTAAAGATGTCAACTCTGTTTGCAAAAAACACACTACCAAGGGGCAGAGTCAATGGGTCAATATAGGAGGAACCTGAGGGTCCACTGGTATCCACTGGGACTCAAACTGAGCCTGGAACTGGATCTGAACCTCATTAATCAAATCTGTGGTGATTGATTAGTGTGCCATGTGATTAGAGACTGATCAGAACCTGAGGTAATACAGGGCTACAGGGACCGGGTTCAAGAGCAGTGATGTCATATGACTGATCTACCATCGACCGAAAGTGGATTCTCTTGAATATTGATGAGGTTAATGACCAGTCTAGACCAATCAGTTTCCTTGAGCCTTAACCTAATGGTGAAAGGACATACTCATGTATCCTGAAACCGGAAAAGAGCCACGCCCCTTCCCCATCAAACACTGGCAGAATAGCTACGCCCCATCTTCAACAAATACTGGTAGAGTAACCTCACCCACCCAACAAAATGTCATACATGCCTCACCTCCATTGTCCATCTGTTTGTCTGCTCATGCTTAGCCAATAGGACAGGACTGTTGCAGAGGCAACAATGGGGCGAAACCGAATGCTACGTCTCAAATTGTGTGAGCAGCGCTCGGACTTCTGGCGTTAGTTGTTTGGCGGCACTTGCGGCCTCAGCGATGGCACGACGGTACGGCCCCTTCCTCTTCCTGTCAAAGCGAGACTGGAACGTCTCCAGGAAGGGCGACAGCTGAGACAGGGGCAAGAACGATGTCGTAGGAGATCCGAACCACGAAACTCGCGCCTCCTGCCGAACATCAAGCCCAGTGTCACCACGCCGTGCCACTGTGATGCCTAGCACACGTGCCGGCCACCAGGGGAAGCCGTAGATCTTGGCCCACACAATGTCACCAACGCACACGGTCCGACCATCCGGCAACGCACACTTAGACACAGACTTAGAAAAAACGGAAGAAGAAGAGGAAGATGAGGAGGAGGAGGATGTGGAAGACTTACGTCGTCGCTTTAGTTCTCCTCCCTCTTCCTCATCCTCCTCGCCGGGGGCCTGGAGCTCCTTACTATGAGACCTAGGAGTCAGTGGGCAGGAGGTGTGTCCTTCAGGGACTAAAAAGGAGGACGATGAAAGAGGAGACTGGGGGGGGGGTAAAGATGATGGGTTTTCTGGGGGCAGGGCTTCAGGTGTCCCTGTGGTGCTACATTCTGAGCGAGAGGAGTCTAAACATAGGGAGGAAGGGGGGCCATCAGCCCCTACCTCTCTATGAGGTAGTACTTCAACATGAGGATCACAGGAAAGAAACTCAGTCGTAGGGTCAGGGTCTGATGTTAGGGCAGGGCTTGAAAAAGGTTTGGGAGGCGAAGAGCGAGTAATGTGCCTGGTCAGGAAGGAGGAGCAGGAGGAAGGAGCCTGGCTCTCCTCAGTACGGTACCTTTGGGGTTTGAGGCGCATTCTGGGTGGTAGAGCCACAGTGTGGGAGGAGTTTGAAGCCCCAGGAGAAGAACTGAGTTGTTGAAGGCGGCGGGTGAAGTGAACCTTCTGGTTGTGGTTCTGCGAGGTGGCCGCCCGGGTCACCACCCTGGTATGATCTTGGTTATGTTGATGTGTCGCTAGCTTCTGCGGACTTCTGGCCAGTTTGATAACAGATACTTTGGAGCTCTCACTGGGATTACTTTTGTCCAGAGGTTTCCTAGAGTTCAGCTTCAAGCTCGTATGTCTGGACGATGACGATGAAACCGTGCCCCTCAGGACCCTGCGTGACGTTGATGATGATGACAAACAGATTCCTGATGGCGCTCGGCGATCCGTGATGCCACGTCCTCTGTCATCGTTCCTCAGCCGTTTCACCTCTGTAGAAATAGGACCATCTACAGCCTTCCGCCGCCGAGATGGCTCATCAGCCCTCAGATCCACAGGACCACGCCGCGCATCCCTATGGGCAACTGATGACACTACACCTTTGCACTTATCACAGAGCACCTGGCGAGGACGAAGTTTTATGGCGTTCATGATGGAGGTGGGCTCTTCGCAGCGATAACGTCGTTTAGGTCGTTTGATCTTGCGTGGGAGTGGCTGAGGTAAGGCCTGGTTATACGTGTCCCTGATTAACAGAGGAGGAGGATATGGTGCACCCTCCTGGAACAAAGGTGGTGGTTTGGGAGCCCAGGAGTGAGGAGGGGGGGTTGACATTTCCTGTTCTATAGAAGGATTGTTGTCAGCAACAGGCTCCATCTTCAAAGACACCTGAGATCGACCATGATCATCTCGACGTGGAAAGATGGTGATCGGGATTCCATAAGGTCCAAATCTAAAGACAGACACACATGAGAGAAGACAAAGAAGACAAGAAAGAAGACAATCATTGTGACACTACACACACAACAAAATGTGACATGGCTTTTAACCCATCACCAAAGTCAGCAGGGGGCAGCTTCTGGACCCAAGTCCACTTCCTTAACCACTAACCCACCACTGCCCCATGTGTCCCACTGTCTCACTGTTTAACAACTGACACACAGACGCCAGTCCACTGGTTACTCCATCACTAGGTCTGTTAGCTAAAAACACAGTCCAGAACATGTTTGGATGAGTCTGGAGCTAACTGTTAGCAGTTACATATTGAGGATGTTGTTATTAATTAATAATATTGTATAATATTTACATTTTGAAAAAAAAACATCAGCAATGCAGTGCAGGTCCACAATTTATTACAAAATATATAAATACATACATATTTGTAATGAACAACAAGCCAGTACTTCCTGACGGCTGAGATGCGGTGTGTGTTCTATAATACATAGGATACACACCACATCTCAGCTGTCAATAAGTCCTGGCTTCTCCTGCTTTCCTGTTTCTGTATAGTTATAATCTGAATCAATAATTTCATTAACTGCACAGTTTGTGTTTTCAGTTAAAAAACAACTTAAAGACAATTTTATTTTTTGCTTTTGCATCATTTAAATCCTAATTAAACCAATTAAACATAACAGGTGTAACCAAAGAGCTCTGTAAACAGGCCTGGACTAGGGCTGCAGCTAAGGAAGAAAAACAAGGAACTGAGGTAGAGAGAGAGGGTGTATGGATACATTTGATTTATTTATGGCATCCAATTGTTTAGACATCTTTTGTATGAAGGAAGTTCATTATTGAATAATATTGGGTTTTATTTTCACCAACTTTTTATTATAAAAAAGACAATATTATTTTGTAAACAAGGGACTTTTTTAAAAAAAGTGTCTTTAATGTTTCTGTCTTCTCACTCTTTCATTGGCATTGATAAAAGTGAGTGACAAAATACTCTCAGAGGATATAAATAAATTAATTCATATTTTGATTGAATGGTGTATTTGCATAAATTATTTATAATCACTTTGTTACTTAATGTATGTATATCATGGGATTCCAGTCTTCAGTCCGTTGCTGCACTCTCTACAGGAGTTTGTTTTTCTAATAAACACCGTTGGTCATCGTTGAAATATAATTTACGTATATGACGTCATTCGGTATAGCTGCTGATGTTTTTCATCCTCACCTTCTAGAAACATCCATCAGAACTCCGGAGAAAACCTTCTTTCCCAGCCGAAACGACACCACCAGCGCGTCATCAATCACGTGGTCTAAGCAGACCCGAACCTCGGACCCAGGACTTAGAGCACTTAGTCCATGTTCTGGGGCCTGAAGCTGAGATAACTCATCGAGTGTCACCGAGTCCGTCACCTGGCGTCTCTTCGGGATTGAGTCCTTCAGGCCGCGGCCCGTCAGTTCGTCGTTCCCGGACGTTTTTTGGTCGAACCCAGGAATTGATTCAAGACTCACAGGAACAGAACCGTCCAACTTGGTTTTGTCCACTGGTCCGGAACTCTGTTCGTTGAGGACACGAACCGCATATCCCCGGTCTCGACCCACTGTTTCAGCTCTGTCCGTGGTCACGTTGGTGGTCGGTACTGCCGGTTCGGCCAGAGAAAGACCGGCTTCAGTGACGGGAGGTGCTGCCGGCAAGGAGTGAAGAAAGACGGCGGACGGTTGTGGGTCAGAGAGGATGCTGTGGTACTGGTTCGACACGTTACCACCGCCGCCTTCATGATCCCCCAGGAGTGGAGAAGAGAACCGTTCTAGACTGGCCCGCTCCACGGAACAGTCACTTATCACTTCTTCAGAAAGATCTTTTCCCGCCGTGTACTCCAGCTCCGGCCTGACATGGCGGTGCTGCTCCTCTTCTCCGCCATCATCCACCTGCGGGGACAGCGGCTCTTGGGTCGGACCACACTCTGGGCGATCCTCGCACTCCAGTGAGACGCTTGGGATTTCCTTGGCTACATCTACCAAATCTTCGTCGCTTAAAGCCCCGGTGGGTGTTGTTGGGATCGCCGCAGCTTCTGGTTCTGCAGCCACGGCCGCCATTTTCTTCCGCTGTGCTGCCCAGATGCTAAGTCCCACCCATGCTCCGTCGAGGCTGCATAGATCCTAAATCATTGGCTTGAACTGCAATCAATCACTGAACGTGCAGCAGAGCCAGTGCTCTGGTAGGCTGAGACCGGTGACATGAGTCATGGAGTCACCACCAGGGGGCGTCTCCGTTAAACAATAAGCTGCAGGAATGAAAATGAAACGATCAGACAATAAGGATGTGATCACGTGACGTATTAGTAAACATGTGGAAAAGCCGCTAAATCCATAACATTAATACACGTAACACAGACACATTTAGCCTTTTTGCGTTTCTGGCTTAAATGTGCTATTGTACCAGTGCAAACGTTTGTTTTGTTTTGTACAGTGTGTCAAAAAACACTACGCTTGAATTAAGGGGAATTTCCTATTAAACTAGTTTTTATTTTAAACATCACAAATATTTCATTTTTGTCCAATGATTTTATCATGTAATTAATCCACTACCTATGGTTTATTTCATTGCAAGGTTACATAATGATGATGATGATGACAAAGATGATACTACAAGGTAGTTGTTTTTAAGATAATTTATGTAATATTTGCTGAACAAAAACTTAAAAATCAAAACAAGAAAAGAGAATTAATTAATATTTCAACAATTTATAAATAATCTGATAATTAGCAAAACTATCACTCAATAAACAAACAATATTTTCTCACTCTCCAATCATCAATGATGACATCACAAGAATGTTATGTTAAAACGACACATTAAAAACAACAATCAAACTTTTTCATTATCAATGATCATTTATGGATGATTTCCTGATCAATCACTGATCAATTGAACCTGAAAAATTTTCCCGCTTTATTGTTGTTTCTCATGCAATGTTTCAGTCACAGTCACTGCAGTAATTGGTATTTTTAAATTAAAAAATATTATTAATGGGAACATCTTTGATCTCATGATGTTACAGCCCTTATCCACAGCATTAAAGACTCTTTGGTAATGTTGCAGCCATGTGTTTTGGCTCTTGATGGTTTAGAGTCTGTTGAGACCAGCTGCATCACTTTCCTTTAGCTCTTTCAAAGCCACGCCCTCTGATGACACCAAGCCCACCTGAAGTGTAACTCTCTCTTTCTGCTGAAAGTAGGGACGTTGTGTAGAGCTTAAAAACAAGCAAAGTAACATGTTAGCACTACCATTCCTCTGGTCAACAGGTTGAAGTAAAGCCTGCACAAGAAGCTAAGTGTTAGCCATTAGCTGACCATCTATCTTCTACATCCTGGATGGTGTCTGGTAGTGGGACGTTCAGTGTCTCTGGTAAGAAACAGGCAAAGAACCCAGCCAAGACCGCAGCCCCACCATAGACCATACTGGGCAGTGCAGGAAGTACCTGCGGATCACACACTACTCAGCCAACACATACTTCCTGTGTCAGTCACTGATAATGAAGACGTCTTTGAAATGTAATGGGCTGCACCCAAACTAAGCCATGTTTTCCCTGATATTGTGAGTCACCTGGAGCTACTGTAGGTCACTTAACTCTCTTCCAGTCAGCAACCATAGCTGCAGCCAGCAAATAACAATGAACCATAGCTTCTTTAAAAAGATCCATTACAGTCATAAAATACAGTCCTGAAGTACAGTCATGTAGTACAGTCCTAAAGAACAGTTCTGAAGTACAAATATCACCTGACAAACAAGCAGAGCACTGTGGTTACTGCATTTATCCAAATTTGTGTAGCATCCTTACCACTTTATTAACTTTGACACTAACTTTGACACACAGTACTGATCTTGCTCAGGCTCTATGTACTGTATATACAGGACCTATATGTAGGGCAGCTGCCAAGTTTCCGCTGAGGTGCCCTGAGCATGGCACCGTCCCCACACACTGCTCCCCGGGCGCTTAAAGCTGCCCACTGTTCACTTTGGTGATGGGTTAAAACCAGAGGTCACATTTGGTTGTGTGTGCAGTGTGCTGTGTCACAATGACAAATAATTCATTTTCACTTTCACTATAGATCGCAGGAATGGAGTTAAATGAAATATTTGT